TGGGAAGGCCTGGCTGCCGTGAGGTCATAAGTGCTGGGAATGCTGTCTTGCTGGCTCTGCCTGCTTGCTGCTCTGATGGGTCAGAACGCCCCCAAACCACGTGTGTCGTCGACCGGTGCACCAAACAGATGAGGATGGTCTCGTGCGAGGGGTGGGGGTAGACAGGAGGTTAAAAAAAACCTTCTTTCTCTGAGTAGCTGACAAATAAATAGATGTCAAATGTTTATGTCAAACAACTGGGAAATGACGTCACATTGCAATTAGTCTGAAGACATGAGAGGAACACACACACAATTGCTATTATAAACTTAAAATATCCCTCCTTCAACTCTTATTGTCCTCAAGACACTGCCTTACTATCTGTATCCAAACTCCTGGACCACCTGTTCTTCTCATTCTCTCCCGGCCTCTCCGCGTGGACCACCTTCCCCAGCGCTTCTACTTGAGCCACCGCCAAGGTGGGTGATTACATGCAGGCTTCACCCAACCTCAGGTGGGTGCAGCTGGAGAGGGCCTCACCCCTGGCCCTGGACACAGCCACGGAGCCTCTCTGTGCTCAAAAGTATGCAAGCTGGAAGTGCGCTTGCTGGCACTCATTGGCTTGGGTTACCCTTCAGGGATGGAGGACAGAGGCTGGGGGATAATGCTCCCTCTTTCAGCCCCGCAGGCAGACTTCCAAAGCGCACAAGGCTCCACAGAAGGTCCAAAGGCATCCAGAGCCAGTTGGTCACAGTGGTGACCAATCCTGGGGCTGAGAGGAAGGTGCAGGACAGAAACATGAGCTAGGACTTCAGCATCTTGTGGATGGCACCTCTCGCCACAAGGAGGAGGGAGATCACCTTGAGAGAAGGAAGACCTGCCTGGGGGCTGAGCCCAGGCTCTGGTAAAACCTTCAGAGGCCACAGAGCATTTCCTTTCTGTTACATACATAATAAGATGCTTTGTTGCCTTTTCTCCTATTGTTCAACCTCTCTTCTTACTCCTTTTAAGATTTACCCTTTATAAGCTTTACAGTGTATCGAATTTCTGCAAGCCCCAGTCTCATGCTTTCTTCACTTCCATGTGTTTCCTGTAATTGTCCCTGTGGGTCATGTCATTCACACCCATGGTTGTATTTTCCTCCTTTAAGTTAATTACTTTGCAGATTTTCTCCATTCCAGACACTGCTTAGGAGATTCACAGGCATCTTTCCAGTTATTGACTTGTAAATTGTACTCTTATTAAATGTCCCAGAGTCACTTGAAACTCAATTGCAAAAGCAAATCTGTGAACAGCTCAAGATTCTGCCACCTTCCTTGTAGCCCGAAACCTGATGGGTAAACCCTGTCTTCTCTCTAGCCCCACTGGGTTTCTCTGTTCCTCTTATTCACCACACATCCTCAGGCCACAAGGACTCCATCAGAGTTCAGCTGAAGTTTCGATGCCTCCTGGAAGCCTTTCCGGGTCCACCTAAATGGGCCAAGTCCTTTTGTTTGATGCTCATGAAACTCCTCTTGGCAGTGCCATGTGGCCTGGTTTGCATGCTTCCACAACTATGGTGCAGGGTCCGTGATGTAAGTAGCATATCTCTTTTGCCCACATTACTGCCCAGTTTTGTTTTGTTTTTTAAATAAAAGAGTAACTGGAGACATCACCATGGAAGAAGCTCGAATCTTCCTGAGGAAAGAGCCCTGTGTCCAAGCCCCGGAGAGGGACACTGTTGTCGGGGCACCTGTAGTTTGCCAGGTAAGTGCTTCCCACGTGCTGTCACAGTCGGTCCCCCAGGCAGCACAGCTGAATACCCACTGACCCTTTGTTCTTGTTTGTTTGTTTGTCAGAGAGAGAGAGCAAGAGAGAGCACACAAGCAGGGGGAGCGGCAGGCAGAGGGAGAAGCAGACTCCCTGCCGAGCAGGGAGCCCGATGCAGGACTCCATCCCAGGGCCTTGGGATCATGACCTGAGCTGAAGGCAGACGCTTAACTGACTCAGCCGCCCAGGCGTCCCTGACCCCTTTTTAAGGTGAGAGGCTGGGCTCAAAAGAGGCAGCGGACTGAACTTGAGCCTGGGGCCATCTGACTTGCAGTCCACTGTGGGCAGGCAGCAGGGAAAAGTGGTGGTTGGAAGGGAATGTGAATATTTGGATTTTTGGGGTGAAGCTGTAACCCAATATACTGACATTTTATTGCAAATGAAATATTTATTCTATTTCATGAGAGATGCCTTGTAATTGGACAGTTGGTTCATACAAAAGTACTTTTTTATGATCGCCTTTTCAGTGAAAAGTTGAGTTAGTTCCTAGAAAGGAGCTGCCTCTGAAGCACAGAAATAGGAATGTGATAAACATGGATCCAAAGACAGAAGTCTAGCTTCCTTAACATTAGCTAGGAACTGCATACTGTAGTACCCATTTGGGAAATACTATATAACCCTCACGAGAATATAAAAAAGTTTCAAAACATCCTGCTCTAAAGAAACTTATTTAATTTTATTTAAAGTTCTTACATGTATTTGAATATGGAAACTTTTTTTTTTTTTTAGAATATCCAGGGATAATTATATTGACACTAAAAACAAAGTAGGGAGTCTCAGTTCGTTGCACTTTCTCCAGTATTAGAGACCTAGACCCTTCCCTTGCAACCCACCCACTTTTCTGAAAGTATCTGCAACTCAGTTTATCCAGTTAGGCAGTTATTCCTTTTTTTTTTTTAAAGATTTTATTTATTTATTTGAGAGAGAATGAGATAGAGAGAGCATGAGAGGGAGGAGCGTCAGAGGGAGAAGCAGACTCCCCGCCGAGCAGGGAGCCCGATGCGGGACTCGATCCCGGGACTTCAGGATCATGACCTGAGCCGAAGGCAGTCGCTTAACCAACTGAGCCACCCAGGCGCCCCAGGCAGTTATTCCTAATACCTCCTAACTCCAAGTGTCGTTGGTGGAGACCCCATTAGAGGACTAACGTTTCCCGCAGAGCAGAACCCTTGCGTAGTCCTACAGTGGGGACTGCTCACTACTTGAAACCAGGGAGGGTTGCTCCCCTGAGTCAAGTTTAAAGTATCCATTTCCACAGAGTTTTTTAATGTAGCACACACATTTTCAACACTCGAATTATTTTTGTTGTTCACTAAATCCACTCTAAATGTCTTACATTTTTCCTCAGTTGAGGAAACAACACAATCCTACTCCAAAGGCAAACGGATGCTGCGTGGTGAGAAAGGGTTCTTTCAAGGTGCCTGTTTATCACCCGTGTTCTACATGGCCAAGACTCACATTTAGCAAAACAGCCATCCCTTGGAATGGGGGCCCAAGGCACTCTTGCAGAAGGAGCATTGGGAAAGACCAAGGAAAAGTGGTGGGGAAGTCTACCACGCACAGAACCACTGAATCATTGATGAGCCCACATGCTCCCATTGAACAGATGGGAGAATCTCTTCTGCAAGATTTGGGAGAACAAATATAAGACTTTGTTCTGAAGGCTTCCAGAAGCAGGAATCTCCCATTGTAGGGATGCTCCTATTGTTAAAAGATGCTCTAGAGCAAGATGACCTGAAATCTGTCTTTCTATGCTTTTCTCACTTGGGTGTTGGCTGTGTTTCCCGGAGAAACCCAGGACAAAGCCATTACCCCATCCCTATGAAAGTCCTTCAAGTATCTACTGAGTTTTTTTCTCTTATTCAAGTGTAGAGATTACATTTTTGGTAGTTTCCATGAAAGGACCGAAGTACTCTGTGATCCATGTATATCATATATCCATGCGCTTGAAGCTTAAAGAGGTGAGTGCAGGGGTGGGCGTAGGACATGTAGCAGCATCCCAAGGCTAAAAGTTGCCTTTTACCATGCCCACTCCACTAGCCATCCTCAATCCAGTAGATAAAGATGACCAGCTGTTCCACAGAATGTGGGTGGGAAAAATGAAAACTTTTATGTAATGGACATTAAAAAAATCAAAAAATGGAAAAGTGAAGATAGGGTGCTTTTTTTTAAAAGGTCTACATTTTGAGGGAAAAAAATGGAAATCTCCAATAAATAATCCAGTCATCAAATAACTCTTACAAGAAATGCTAAAAATCCTAGGATTGGACTTGGATCTCCATGTACACCAATCTTTCAGCTACTCCCGTGGGATGAACGCCACAAGCCTGTCCTCCCCTTGCCGGGGCAAGAGCCTCTCAACCCACCAGGAAGCCATCCAGGCTGGAATGACAATGCAGGTACCCTTAGAGCTCACAGAAGCGTCGCAAAACTCTGGACAAAATGGTCTCAGAAGAACTGGAAAGGCAGAGGAATTCTATCTTTTACTTGCCGGAGAATAAAGTTCCACAAATGCACATTTCTAAAGTTGCTAATCTCTTTAAGCTGAACATCTGCTACACTTACACAAATAAATTTCACCTTCTAGCTCATTTAAAATTAAAGAGCCGAGATGAATTTTAAAATATGAGGCTGTTAAGAGACAAAAAGAAAAAAAAAAGAGCTAGTTTTAGGCTGCTGCTAAAGCCCAGGGTGAGATTTTATGGAAAATCCTGGTGCAGTTTTATGGGAGACTCAGATGAAGTGCTAAAAACAGGGATTTATATAATGAAAATGATATTTCAAGTCTTCTCTAGAATACTACAATGGCTAGGAGATAATTAACATTTTATTCTAGTTTAGGGAGAACCTGGCCGTTGCTTTTTGTTCTCAGGATAAAATTTATGGTATGACTGAGAAAATGGGAAGAAAAATGACGGCACAAAAGGGTAAGATAAATCTTTATAAAAAGACAACTTCTCGCCCTCTCCCTCAGGAAAATCCTATGAATTTACCCCTAAAAGGACTGATTTTTTTTTTCCCCCTGCCAAAGGGATTTTTATACCTGTCTTCTCTCCTAGGTGGCAGTGTGGCATAAAAAGAGACTAATTCAGGACTCACCCACTGTTTTCAGGATTCCAAGATCACTAAGAATGAAGGATCAAGGGAAAATACTCAATAAGGTCTCAAAAGAGAGAAACTTTTTTTTTAAAATAGAAAAGAGCGGTACTCACTGGCTCCACATTGTATGAAAACAGAGCGTACTCCTTATCTGGAGATATTTCATATCGGATGGCTCTTAATGATTCCTAAAAGAAAAAAAACAAAACAAAGGATTTTACAGCGTTAAATAACACAGCTCAGAATCTTGTAGGGAATCTGTGCTTACTGGTGCCGTTTTCAAAACCTGCTAATAAAATTTGTATGCAGTGAACTCGCTAAACTGTATTAAAGATGGCAATATCCTTTCTTTGCGAATAATATTCAGGTAGTTGATACTTTTTCACGTTTTATTCGTTTTTTTTTTTTTTTTCAAGTTGCAGCAAAGCAATACTTATGGTATCTATGGAAACAAATCAATGGAAGTAAAGATGAAAACCAGTAATCCCTTCCCCACAAGACTCCCATCCTCTCTGTATCTTTATTTTTTATTTTATTTTTAAAGATTTTATTTATTTATTTGACAGAGAGAGACACACAGAGAGAGGGAACACAAGCAGGGGGAGTGGGAGAGGGAGAAGCAGACTCCCCTCTGAGCAGGGAGCCTGATGTGGGGCTCGATCCCAGGACCCTGGGATCACGACCTGAGCCGAAGGCAGACGCTTAACGACTGAGCCACCCAGGCGCCCCCTCTCTGTATCTTTAAACACGGTTCACTTGCTTATTCGTACGCTTAAAAGCTTACATTAAGCAGACTGGTTCCTAAAAGAGAATCACATTCTACACGTTATCTTCTACCTCGCTTTTAAGCCATCATAGACACCGACCCACAATTTGGTCAGTGTGCAGACAACTAACCGTGCGTCTTCCTTCAAATGTCTTCATGGGACACAGGCATTTTTACATAAACGACATCATCAAAAATCCTGTCTCCCTTTAATTTCCCCCACCTCCTTGGCTGCGCTCACCCTGATGGGCAGACCCCCAACACCCACTTGGAAGAGCCCTCTCCATCAGCCTGGTGCGGGCCACCCTACTGACAATCCTATGGCCACGTGCAAACATACGGATGTGTAACCATAGCGAAAAGTGACATTGCAGCTCACCCATCTCTCACTTGGGTTTTCCCTGCAACAATCGGTTTAGCCTGGATTGCTGATCTTTAGAGCTTGCATAGTATTCTGTGGTGTGGATATACCTTGATTTACACACTCAGTCCTTACTAAAGGGTAGTTCCAGAAGACTCTTGCTATTCATAGGAGTTACGTTCTGGGAAGTGTCCACAAACCCCGAGTTAGAGAATACTGAAGCATTTCCTAGGGGAAATGCAGGGCTAGGTTTCAGCGAGGCTCTGGTCACAATCCTCTTGTCAACCAGTCAACACATAACCCTGTCCTACGCGTGCTTCTGTTTAAAGGCATCTTATTGAACACGTGCTGCCGATGCATTCACACGGAACTCAAAGGGACGGCAGTGTAACTCGTGCCTGGACGCAGCTCACCTAACACGGGTTTCCTCCGTAAGACACGTCACAGCCTTCTTGCATTTCGGATCATTACCGGGCACTTCGGCACTATCCTCGGGGACCATTCCAAACAACATGATCTCCAAGAAAAAACCACAAAAACGTGGAAAACATGGCACTCCCTAGGCCACACCCACTAAAAAACACTTGTTCAGTGTGAGCTCGCGAACTCCAATGTTTTTGCCACTATACACACACCTGGGAATGACTGCAAAAGCCCTGGGAACGTTCGTCTGGATGCCACAAACACATTTTAGCACACTGGCAAGCCCGCAAACACAGAAGCTGTTGAGTGATGAGGATGGGCTGTCCTGTGTGTCCAGGGTGGTCATGATACGCAACGTTGTAATAAAATCCTCCTCCATGTTTCTTTACTGGTGGGTGTGAGCTTTTAACAATTTTTTATGGGACAGATATCTAAGGGTAGGATTGGTGATTTTCAAGTTTTTTAAAAAATGCAAATAGATATTGTCAAATTGCTTTTCAAAAATGTTTTTGGATGGGCGCCTGGGTGGCTCACTAGTTAAGCATCTGCCTTTGGCTCAGGTCATGACCCCGGGGTCCTGGGATCGAGCCCCGCATCGGGCTCCCTGCTCAGGGGGAAACCTGATTCTCCCTCTCCCACTCCCCCTGCTTGTGCTCTCTCTCTCGCTGTGTCTCTCTCTGTCAAATAAATAAATAAAATCTTTAAAAAAAAGTTAAAAAATGTTTTTGGAATTAACACTCTCACTACTGATGAATGAATGCATACTTTCTCCCTTCTCGGGCAGCAGGAAGCACTGATCTGTATTCTGGGCTTTGACCTTCTGATGCATGGACGCTGGTGCCTCACTGAGAGCTCAGTTAATACTTCCCCGTGATGGGCACATTCGATCCTCACTGGGTATGTTTTGGGCAATGTGGATTTTATCTTCAGAAAACTGCATCCAAATCTCCTTGAAGGTACTTGCTATGCTCTGAGTTTTCTCCTATGTTTTTCTGAAGTTCACTCCTACCATGTTTTCATCCCCACTCAACCCAAACTCCTCTTCTCAACGTTACCAGACCCTAACGTGCTTCATGCCGTGATGATTTCTCAGCTCTCCTCTCGGCACACCGATCACCTTCTCTTCCTCAAAACCCTGTGTCCACTTGGCTTCCAGGATGCACACCTGGTTTTCTCCTCACTCTTCCCTGAGGTTTCTCTTCCTGCACCTCTGCTGGCTCCCTTCTTTTCCCTGACCTCTGAATGCTGGACTAACCAACATTAATAATTGGGCTTCTTTGCTTTTCAATCAGAAATCACATCGTAGGTGATACCATCCAGCCTCGTGGCTGTGAAAACCAGGTACCTGCTGAGGATTTCAACTGCCACATGTCCCAGACCTCACCCCCCACCCCCCCGAATCCGGCTGGACCTGACCCTGAGCTTAGGCTCCACTGCCTCCCTGGCATCTCCACCTGAATGTCAGGTGGGTGTCTCACTGTAACAGGGATAAAACAGAGCCTCTCACATCCTATCCCCTCTCCTTCCAGCCCCAGGGACAGTCCTCCTCATCTCCAACATGGCAACCCCACCCACTCAGCTGCTCTGGTCAAGCTCCTGGTTCTCCTTTCTCTTCTGTCTCACACACCTGACATCTAGCCAAGTAGAAACTGCTGGGGGTCTTCCATCAAAGTCTATTCAGAACAGTCCCCACCCCCCCGCTCTTCCTGGTCTAAGCATGGGTCCTTCTTCTTGGGCCATTGCAGTGAGCTTCCAGCTGTCTCCCAGGCTCTGACTTTGCCCCCTGCAGTCTATTCTAGCCCCTTGGGTCAGAGCCCTCTCTGTACAGGAATCATCACCCCGCCCCCCCACTCACACCCCCTCAGCTTCCATCACACGTGGACTGAATGTCAAAGTTCCCACTGAGCAGTGGGCCTGCTGCCTAGTCCCCATCAACTCTCAGTCCCCATCTCCAAGTATGGCCCTTTGGCCCCCTCACCCCAGCCACACTGCTGTCCACATCTTCCCAGAGCAAGCCGGGTACATGCTGGCCTCGTGGTCCTTGTGATGGTCTTGCTCCTGCCTGAAATGCTCTAGGTGGTCACCTGTCAGCTTTCTTCTCAAAAGCCTCCTAAGTGAGGCCTTGCCTCTCTTCAGTGGCCATGACATCTAGAAATTTCAGTAGTCTGCCTCTGACGTTTCCTTACCCTCTTCCCTTATTTTCCTAGGCTTAATCATATTACAATAACATACATTTAACTTATTTATCTAGTGCTCGTCCCCTTCACTAGAATGTAAGCTCCTTGATAGGAGAGATTTTAAAAGAAATCTTTAATTTCTCTCAGTGATGCTTTGTAGTTTCCAGGGTATAGCTCTTGCCCATATTTTGTTAAATGTATCCCAAAGTATTTGGTATTACTGATGTTTTGTATATATAAAATATACATGTCTCAATATTCAATTGTTTATTGCTAACAGACAGAAATAGAATTAATCTTGGTACCCCGAACCTTATGCTCTGCAACCCTGCTAAATTTCATTAATTGTTCTAGCAATTTTTTTTTTTGGTAGATTCTTTAGAATTTTCTATGTAATCATATTTTCTCTGACTAAAGAGTTCTTTTTCTTCCTTTCCTAACTGGATGCGTTATTGCTTCTTTTTATGGCCTAATTACACTCTAGAGAACCGCCAGGACGATGCGCAGCAGAAGTCACGAGGGTGGGCACCTCACCTTTCCCCCGATCTGAGGGAGAAGGCGTTCACTCCTCACTGTTCGGTGGAAGGTGCTTTTGCAGATGTCTGTTATCAAGTGAAGACGTTCCTGTCTATTTCCAGTTTGCTCAGAATTTTTATAATGGATGTTGAGTTTTATAATGAGTGTTGAATAATCTCAAATGCTTTTTCTGTATTTACTGAGATGATTATGTTGTTTGCTCTTTTTAGTCTGTCGAAATGGTAAATTACATTGTTTGATGTTCAAATGTTGAAGCAAACTTGCATTCCTTGGATAAACTATTTGGCCATGATGTATTAGCCTTTTATATATTGCTGGACTGGATTTGCTATTTTGTGAATGTTTTTTGTACCTGTGTTCATGCGGGAAATTAGTCTGTGGTTTTCTTTTCTGCTAATAACCTCGTCTGGTTATTTGGGGGCAGTGCTAACCTAATAAATGACTTGGGAAGTGTTTGTTTTGTAAGTTTGCACAGAACTGATGTAATGTTTTTCTTAAACACTGAATTCACCCGTGAAGTCATTTGCACCTCGAGTTTTCCAGATGTGGAGCTTTTTGCCTATTAATTCAATTTTTTATATTGATGTAGGACTATTGAGGCTACCTATTTCATTTTCCGTGAACTGTGATAATTTGTTATCTTTCAAGGACTTTTTCATTTCGTTCCATTTATTTTCATTTCATTGTCAAATTTATTGATATAAGGCTATTACTAATATTTTCCATTATTTTTATTTTTTTTTAAAGATTTTATTTATTTATTTGAGACAGAATGAGAGAGAGAGCGAGCTCATGAGAGGGGGGAGGGTCAGAGGGAGAAGCAGACTCCCCGCCGAGCAGGGAGCCCGATGCAGGACTCTATCCCGGGACTCCAGGATCATGACCTGAGCCGAAGGCAGTCGCTTAACAGACTGAGCCGCCCAG